TTTTTTTTTTTTTTTTTTTTTTTTTTTGGTGTGTTTCTTTTTTAAATTCTTGCTGTGTTGGAACTAGCGAGTGGTGGAAGACGAGGGATTTCTGAAGCCTCATCAGTCATCGAGACTGTCAGGAATAGTGGTTTAAGAGGAAGCTCGGCCTGGGGCACTATACCCTGTCATCCAGTTCCCTGCCTCGGAGATAAAGATTCCAGCTACATGGGCAAACGCCTGGATCAGCCACAAATGTACCCCCAGTACACTTACTACTATCCTCACTATCTCCAAACCAAGGTATGGCTCGACCCACAGTCTGGCAATCAGTGTGGTATCCTTCTGCACTTGGGATGGGAAATAGGCATGTGAATTATTATTTACCTCCCCTTCCCCATCACCTCTTCCTGCTTCTTTGAAATTAGTAACATACCAAGGGAGTTAATGAGGCAGAGGAGAATATAAGAAGAAAGCAAGCCCGGGATTGTGGCTTTCTCTTTTAGGAGAGAGAATAGTTTCGCTCGTGTTCTTTTGTTGTTATTTGGCAACATGAAAATGTTCCTGATATCTGTAGTAAAGTCCTTTGCAGATGGACAGGGTTGTTAGAAAGGAGATCGTAACAGTGATTATCAGGCACAAGAATACAATTTCAGGGGCTTTTCTGGTGAGCTGTTCTTTGTTTGTGGCTCTAAAAGGGTTTTTCCCACTGGATAGGACACACCAGGGTGGGGGCAACTCAAACTTTTAATCGCTGAGTATAAAATGAAAGAAGGGTGTGGGAAGGTATAGTACAGCTGACTAAAGTCCTTTAGAGTTTGTTTGGGTGTGTTTTGTGTGTGTGTGTCTTTGTGTGTGTGTGTTTTATTTGCCTTACATATTTTATTTTATATCGAGGATGAGCAAGATGCTAGAGACTGAATTTTGGAGCTTTACCATAGGTGTTCTTTACTTTTAGAAGCTCTGTTTTTCTGTGCTGGCTGCCATCAGGAGGCCTGGGTCTTGAAACGGGATGTAATGTAACTGATGACAATTGGACGTGAATTGGTTAAATACTTGAATCTTTATGTGTGTGCTCAAATGATCATTACGGGGCCAGTGGCAAGCCCACGTAACGAAGCAGTGGGCAGTGCCAGCCGTGAACTTTATCCTGCACTTCAGACATGAAAGACTCTCAGGTGTGAAATCACTGCTCCAATTTGTCAATTAAATTGGACTTGACTGGGGTGGGGGGGATGTTGGTGTAGTTACCACTTTGAACGCATGGGTTATATTTCTATATGGATGATATTATTTTGTATTGCATTAGCCAGACTCCGCTGTCTTCTTAATAAATAAATATGCCGAGAGTGAACAAGGCGTGCCTGAGTGATCTGTGCTGTCACTAGGACTCGATGATGTGATTAGTGTTTGGTAATTCATGCTGTAGTTAGCTCTTATTTATTCTGTCTCATCAAACAATGCCTATTTGTAAACCAGACCAGGCAGCAGACTTTCAGAATTACATTAAAAATTGTTGCTTTTTTCCTTTCTTTTTCAATCGCTCTATGACTCGCCCTGCCCCTCCAAGGTCGACTCACATTGCTTTTTGCCTTTGTGAGCATTTAGTTTGTGCTGCTGCTGCTTAAATAGACCAGCCCTCCTGCTCCAGTGCCTTGAGATTTAACTCTTTGGGGGATTGGGTAGAGAATGCTGCCTGCCTTCCTTAAGGAAATGGCAAAGCAAGGACAAGTTAAAAAAAAAAAAAAAAAAAAAGGAAATTTATAGTCATTTCTCATCCCCCAAAGAAACAAAAACAACAAACTCAAGGGTTCCATGAAAAATATCGGACATTCCATCCCTTTTACTCATTTGGCTAAATTTTTCCAAATGTTTCAAAATTCATGCTTTCTTTTTGGGTCTTTTTTTTTTCTATGAAGTATATTCAGAAAAGAAACTTCAGATAAAAATGAATGGAATAATGAAATAATTGCTTTCCTGCTTGAGATTTCTTTTAACTTATTACCATCAGGAAATAATGTGCGTATTATATTAAGGACAGGATGCTAGATGAGCTACACTGATGGGAAGTGTGTGTGTGTGTGTGTGTGTGTGTGTGTGTGTGTGTGTGTGTGTGTGTGTTTGAGAGAGAGAGAGAAGGAGGGAGAGAAGGAGAGAGAGAGATTGGGATAAAGAGGAAAAGTGAAGTGACAGAAAAGAAGAGAGCCTAAAAAATACAGAGGGAATTAAAAACAATCTGTTTTGGGGTCCTGTGTAGTTTAGTGTTGTGTAGACAGGCGGCATCTGGATCTTGTTACTTTCAAGCTAGTCAAAGCCATCAACTTCTGGAACATTTTTAAAGAAGCTAGATCCATTAGGTGACCTGAGCTGATATTTGGGTAATCAGATCAGGGTGGTAGGGAATATAAGATCAGCTCCTTTGGCTATCCTCGTAGTTCATATTGATTATTATGTTGTAAAATTTCGACAGTGCTGTGAAGTTGTCGAATGCTGTTACGGTGGCTCTGAAATGACAGACATTAATAACATTCCTGGAAGCTGAAGATGTGAAAACGTGCCCTGGTTTGAAACGTGGGCGCACAGGGGATGGGAAGAAGGGTCAATCATATTTTCAAATGTGGGGGCTTCCTGACAGCATGAACACTATGTAATAAAGTACCATCATGCCCCCGTGTAACATGAACACAACTAGGTTATTTCAGTATCATTTTTTTGGCTTGTTTTATGCTTATATCTTAAAATTTAATCTATAATACTTTTGAAGGAAATACATGCTGCTCATGTTTATTTGGTAAGCCCAGGTGGAATTCATAGATTCTACTGTCCTTCCAGCCTTGGGTTATAGTTATAATCCATTTTTGAAATCATAGCTGTTTAAACTGATGCTGGTATATAAAGAATATTCATGGTTGATAAAAATAGAATTCTGTGGTTGACAATAAAAGTCATGTTCTGGTGACATCATAATTTAAGCTGTTGTCTAAATTCAGGTGTTTTCAACTAATCAACAAAAGCTGTTTACTGACATTATTTTGGGTTGGAAAATCTTTATGGGATTGTTACAGAACTGAAAGGTTCACTATTTATTGTATTCATTCAGAAAGTGCAAAATACTGAACCTTTTCTTTTACTTCAATGTGTGTATTGGATACAGCTGCTGTTTTATTATGATAAAACAAAATGAAAGTAGGATTTTTAAATAAATGGAAATGTTTCTGTTTCTTCAAATGCAATTAAAGTTTTAGAAAAACTTGGGACGCTTCCCTGCCTTCTCTGCTCCTCTTATTTCCGATCAAATTAGAACCAATCCATTAACTTTGTTGCTTAAAAATAAAATATAATAATAATAGTAAGACATTAATGCTTTTCTCCCTTTGAATAATTTTCTAAATGCTTAAAACAATAGATGAGAAAAATGTACCTGTAAGTTAAATGAAAACCAGTGGCTGACTGGTGGCTAGCTATGCCTTGCAGCAGTGTTGTTCCAGAATGCTTACTCTCCAAGACCTCACGTTCAAAGTTGTCATTTGTCAATTTTCTTTTGGCCATTTTTCTTTTCCTCTCAAAAGAACCAATTTCAAAAAGAAATGTTGGTTTTGGTTAAGCAGTAAAGAAGAAATCTTGGTGACATGTTGTAATATTTATATAAGAGACATAACTGGATTAAAAAAAAATCTTCATCAAAACAAATTTGCTGTTTGAAGGCCACCCAGAATAATAAGCAGATTTTAGAGAACGGGGACCAAAAAAGGGTTCATGAGCTTAATGATAATGTCTATAATGATGTTTGACTGAGTTGTAACCTAATATTTCTCAGTAATTTTGTTCTAGCCCATTCAAAGTAGCTAACCTGTTGCTTTTGCATTGTGAGAGCCAGGGTGAATTTCAATCTGAATTTGAGGTACTTTGGGGCGGTTTCTTGGCAAAACAGCTTAGTCAAACTAGGAAAAGTAAAAAGAGTGAAACATGGTCACAGCCCGGCGAACTAATATTTTGCAGCTGAGAAATAGGTATTTCTCTCATAAATGATGCTTCGAAAACTTGGGTCATCCTTCCAAAACTTTAAACTTCGTCCAGGCACCCACAGCAAGCTTGTCCTTCCTTCTGTTTCCTTCCCCTGACCAGGTCACGGCATTTCTATCAATCCAGGGCACAGTTTCTACTCACGCTGCTTTTCCATCAGCCCACTGCTTTTCCTTCTTTGGCCGTCCACTCCCCCTGAAGATCTTACAGAAATGGGTTCAGACTGTGGGACCCTATAGGGTTTTTCTGGCTGGTGGTACTCAGATTGTATTCAGAGCATGGTGTGAAGTTGGGGTCAGGTGTAAGGAGTAATTCATCAACTGCACACCGATTTCAGGCTGAGTTTCTAACCATCTGCAGCCTGGACAGCTGCCCATCTCTCAAAGTCTAGCTAGAGTCCAACTGATTGTGCCATAGAAAGAGCAAACACTTGAAACACAAAGGACTAAGGAGGAGGTGAAGGAAGAGAGAGGCTCCTAGGGGCAAAGGATATTCTCAAAGATGTAAACGTACAAATCCTTCAAAAGCAAAACAGAACAACCCCTTAACATACTTCTTGCACATGAAAATGTAGAAAATCTTGCAGAGGGAGGGAATGAGTTTAGAATTTCCTTAGTACTTCCTGCCTCAGATTTGCATTGATAGCCAGAGTTGGTAACTTGCCAGTTTTAAAACAGCCTTGAAAACTCCCAAGTTCTGTTTTCCTTTGAAAGCCTGAAACATACAAAACTGGTTTTCTAAAAATCTTCCAGCAAGAGAATTTTTAGGTACAACTCCAAATATTTCTTTTGCTTCAAGGGGCGGGGGGTAAGGTGGTAATATGAAACTATGATAAATCTTGTCTCTCTTTAGAATGTGTACAATTTTAATTGGTTTTAAGTAAGAGAAAAATAGTTATAGGGGGTCACTTTCCCTTTCTAGTTGTTTTGTTTTCTTTACTCCCTCCCATTTTTATTATCATTGGGTTTGTCTTTTCTATAATATAGTCATTGTTTCACTAAGTTGAGTGCCTACTTAGATGGAGGAAATATGTAAAAAGTTCATGTGTTTTCTTTCTTCAGAATCATGCCAAATTCAAAGGACACATGTAAATTTGTTCTAACAGTATCTTTGTAATGCAGTTTGCTCTTGCTTTCTCTCAATAATAGAATTAAAACTCAACATTATTTCTATGAAGTAATTAAATCTATTAGAGGGTTGGAGGTAGGGGTGATTTGCAAGGAGGGAGGCAAAAGAAGGGAAGGAGGATGTAAGTTCATCTCAGGTCTTTCTGGCTCCAG